TTTTATAGCACAAACTTTTCTTCTTTTATCTCTCCATCAGCAGCAGTGATTCAGGGGGGAAGTGAAAGCATCCCAGCTCTTTTTAAGGAGAATACAGCTATTTTCTAGCCATTTTTTTTCCTCAATCACAGTGCTACAGTAACACAATTATCAATACTTACTGCAAGTTGAAAAAGCAATCGACAGTGCCAGTAGGGAGTCTGCTGGGAGATCTGGATGGCTTTACGTAACAGAGGTTTTGCTGTATCCACTGAATTCTGAAACAGAAACACACACCCCAGTCAACACAAAAACCAGGCCACTGGGAGCTCCAGCACGAACAATTAATAACTTTTAAACCAGTTGGATTTGGTGTCGATCCCCCGTTAAAGTCTCATAGGTCAGGAGCCTTAAAACATGAAAGAAACTCAATTATTTAACACACAGGCCCACACATCTGTGCTTGATTCAAAGTCTGTTTAAAAGTATTAAATATTTAATTCCTTTGGCCACTGTTCTGCTACACACTTTTTTCCTGCATGTAAAAGAAGAGGCAAACATTTGCTTTAGAGAAAGTAAAGCCTAGTTAAGGCTTTTCTAGAGAAAAAAATAGCCCAGGAATATAACAAAAGACTGAGGAAAACCACCTACTTCCCTCCCTCCCCCCAAATTAACTTGTCTTTGTCTAAACAAGAGCTAAAAGAAACACTGTGTCCCAATAAACTTCCTTTGCTGTGGGAGATCTGCACTGCAAAACCAGCAGCAACTTTCACATCAAGAAAAAACAAATGGTTTTTAGGGTTATGCTTCAGTAGCCTGTATTTACACTACAGCTGCTTTCTGCAAGTTTAGTAAATCTTACTATTCATAGTGATATACTGCTCTGAGACCAAAGACACTCAAATTAACTGCAGCCCCAGGACACCCCCCAGTTTCGGCACTCACCTCCTGACAATACAGCTCGGACAGAAGGCTGGCAGCCTCAAACTTAACATCTTCAAACTGGGGAATCTGGCAGCATCAGAGTTAAGTAAATAATAAACACAGTCTGGGACGCAGCAGCACCCTCACATCCCAAAAAAAAAAAAAAAAAAAAA